TACTAATGCATTATTTAGATAGGTAATGGGTTGCATCACTAGATGTATTATTTTTCCATAGCTTAGGTTAGAGTTATGTATCTAGATATTAAGTAATTGCAATGGTTATATATTAATTGAATACATTAATTTCTTCATAAAATTCTATTGATATGATATTGCACATAAAACTTGAATTCAATAGGAAAGATATCATTTACAAAAGAAAAACATATTTCTATGCTAGTTTTTTTAGTTGACATTGGGAAGAAACAAAAGGTTCAAATCTTTTCATTTTTAGCCAATTGAACTACAGACTCAACAACCCCAATTATAGCCTGAAGACCCTTCTGATCCACCAGAGCTTTGATCCACACACGTATTATGAGTCAATTACTCTATGGTAGGCAGCACAGCAATCTGCCACTGGTAAGGCACCACGCTTTTAGAAGAATCACCAAAACCAATATCTTCTGCTACCCATTCAATCACCGCCAAAATTGGGTTACTGTAAACCACCGCAGTGCCAACCTACAGACCACTTGGGAAGGCACCACGTCAAGTTCCGTATGCAGAGGCCGTGCATAAAATTATGTGCATCAATCACGTCTTGAATGCAAATTTAAAAGTTGTTTGATTGGACAGAGTTTGGTTAAACTGTGAAAAATATTCCCCCTTTGTATTAATCTAAAGATTAGAAGACACTCTAATAATACTAATACACTTTGTTGTATTTAAAATTTATTGGGATGAAAAAAATTGTTAGGGTGAAGAAGTATTTATAATAGAGACTTTGTAAATTTATTCTTAAAATATCTAATAATTTATTCCTCTAATACTTAAATTTTTTTTTTAAAATAATTAATTTCTTTATTTATAAAATATCTTAATCATTTTCCACGGAATGAACTCATAAAATTATTGGGCTTGACCGGATTGAGATAGTGATGATATGTAACATCTAAAAAAAAAAAAAGATAAAAGCGATCAAAGTCAATAGAAGGGAAAATAGGTCATTTTGCTCATAAGCCTATTATAGGGATCCAAACGGAATCTTAGCAGAAGCCCTGCAAAAGAGAAAATTCAAAGAGAGGGAGAGTGGAGAGAAATCGAAGAGAAGAAAAGAAAGCTGCCCGCATAGCTCATCAGAAAACCATTGTTGAAGTTCACTCCCGAGCAATACTGATATGCAAGGACTCCTCTTTGGAAGGAAAGGGAGGTTTCGAGTGGTCGGAGCCCATTTTCCATCCTAAATCGAGGAAAACCTGTGAGGTAAGATCTTGAGTGTTTATCCTTGGATCTGAACTTTTTCTTGCAAATTGAGATATGAATTCCAATATGTTTAATCAGGGAGGTTCTCCCTAAATTCCGTGAAGGAGATTGGCCGAAATCCGATATGAAAGCGGAGCTTTGAGAGTCATTCAAGAACGGTAAAGAAAGGGAATGTACCTACTTCGAACACTACTAAATTAGTCTATGTTTGGGTAAAAATTTGAGAAAAGAAATACGTGGACCGAGTTGAAATTAAGATCTATAACTTTACTGAAGAAATCATCTTGATTTGAGTTCCGAAAGGAATAATGCAAAAGATTTGAAGTTTAAAAAAAAAACTAATCAAACTTGTGATTGGGACTGCCATAAGGAGAGAGAAAAATTTCTGGCGAGCCATGTGTCAATCGAGGTCAGGATCATCGTGTACCAATCAGACGGAGGACATGTGTCCTTCGCTAAGTGGAGCAACGCAACTCCAGCCAGATCGCGACATGTGGCTGCTGCAACCTGTGTTCCAACCCAAAACCCGTGGTTCAACTCGATTCGACTTGCAACCCATCAGTCTAACTAACCCACGACCCAACTATTGGAACATTTTTTTCTTGAAAAAGATGGGTCAAATGGTGAAACTGATTAATGTTCCCCAACGGTGGAGTATGAGTTTGTTGATACATGGGAACCTACTACACAAGAAATGGAAAAGCCGATAGAAACCAAGAAAAAGGATACTAAAGTTTTTTTTTTTAATTACTATGCAGCAAGCAATTCATGAGACCATCTTCTCACAATTGCAGGACATCATGAATTGGGAAGCAAGCATGATCAATTTTGCAGAAAGAGTTTTAAGGAGATTCAAACATAAAAACATTAAATTGTAATTGTGAAACTTTGCTCCTGATAAATGGTGAATTGATTGTTGATTTTTTTTTATCTAAAGCAATGTCAATAGTCAGCCAAAGAAATTTAACTTCAAAGTTTGACTATGTAATGACTATATAAAAGGAGATAAAAGAATCAATAAATCATAAAAAAATGAATGAAGAAAAACACTTTAACCGAAAGAAGACAACCACCAACCCATGGAACAATGTTCATTAAGCAACTAGAGACGATGGAAGAGGAGAACTTCGATGCAACTATGGTCGTAATAACAGGAGTAGTAGGAGAAATGATGGACAAAGGAAGGTTAATGAGCAAAGTATATGAGGAATGTCATTTAATGTTACCATGGCAAATGATATGGTCATGCAAAGCTGATTGTTGGTGTAAAGATTAACAAAACGAATTTTGGAGTAAAAAATGAAGAAGAAGAAGAAAATATTTTTATGACTTGTATTGATACAAACTTAAAACAAAGGAATATATGGTTGGTTGATAGCTGATGCTCGAATCATATGAAAGGCACTCCAAGTGCTTGGTGAGACGCAAAGAGTTAAGTGCAACTTGACAATAAAAGAAAAATGCAAGTTGAAGGGAAAGTCATTGAAAGTTTAAACCAGTCATGACATAGTAAAACTATTAGATAGTGTTCAATTTTGCCGTATACAACCTACTGAATGTTGAACCATTGATGATTGGAGGATATTTCGTTCTATTTGATGACAACACATGTATAATTACAAATAAGAATGAGGCCTACAAGTTCCAATTCACATGACTTCAAATAAAATGTTTCCATTTAATGCTTTTAACGTGAGGAATTTTGCTCTTACTGTTTGAGCAAAAGATGACTCGACGCTGTGACATTTGAGATATGGGCATCTTCATATGAAGGACCATAGATAAATGTATGATTTTCGGGTTACCAAACATTGATACAATTAGTTTATGTGAAGGGTGCAATTATGGTAAGCAAACTAGGAAGTCTTTTGGTGTTGGATTAGCTCAAGAATTTCAAATTGTTTAGAACTAATTCATGTCGATTTATGTGGGCCAATGTAAACTAAATTCTTGGGGGAGAGTATTTATTTTTTACTATTTAGTGATAACTATAGTCATATGAGTTGACTTTACTTCCTCTAACATGAGTAAGAAACTTTTGAAAAGTTCTAGAATTTTAATGCAATGGTAGAGAACTGAAGTGGGTGCCAATTAAATTTCTTTGCGTAGATAGAGGCGACAAGTTTATGTATAAAAAATTCAATCTATTTTATGATGAATAGAGCATCCAAAGGGAGTTAACAACTCTTTACCCTCTAAAACAAAATGGAACCGGTGAATGAACATTGGAATTGTTGCGAAGAGACAAAAAGTATGTTACAAGTAAGGAGACTTGCAAACCAATTTTGGACGGGAGCTATAGCAACATCTGTCTATCTATTAAATCTTTCACCAACAAATTCTGTAATGAATTGATCTCCTTATGAAACATGACATGGAAGGAAACCATCTCGAAGTCACTCACGAGTCTTTGGTTATGTTGCTTATCATTGATAAATTCAACTTTAGTATTACCAAACAACTCTTTTCTTAAATCATCTCAGATGAGACACTGCTAAAAATGTATACATTTTTAGGTGACATAAACGCATCATGTCAATTTGCTCTTATTGTTTCAAACTCTATAAATTAAAGAAGAAGCAGCTAAAAAAAAAAAGAGTAGCAGGAAGTAATTGTAGAAGAGAGGCTAACAATTAAGAAGAATGAAACATGTGAGATGATTGATTTACCAAATGGAAAAAATGCAATCAACTTAAAATGGGTGTCCAAGACAAAATTTGCAGCATATGGAAGCATACGAAGCATAAAGCTCGTGTTGTGGCAAAATGGTATGCACAATAAGGTGTGGATTTTGAAGAAACCATATCTTTAGTAGCTTACTTTGAAATGGTAAGAACTATTCTAGCATTAGCATCATAATTGCGATGACTTATTTTTTCAAAAGATAGAATGAGACTTCTTTGTATGTGACGAAGGAAGATATAATTGATATTATCTTTATTTGCCTTTATGTTGATAATGTTTATACTAGGTTGATAATATCATTTATATTAGCTCTTTTAACTCTATTGTGGATAAATTTAAGTCTCAAACGACCGTGAATTTGAGATTAGAAATATGATTTTATTGGAATATTTTCTTAGTCTTGGAATATGTCAGGTTGAAGATGAGATTTTTATTTCGTAAAGAAAATATGCTAAAATATTGAGTAAATTTAGTTTGCTTAGTTGTAAGCCTACAGTCACATCTATGAAGACGGAGTAGAAATAACAGATGCTAGAAGATTCAGAAGCTTGATTGTAACGTTATAAAAAAAAAAAAAAAAAAAAAAACGACCGAGGGGCAAAATGGACATTTTACCCCTCAGCCTAGGGGTCTTGAGCGTCCTCCTCAGAGTTCCTGCAAAAGAAGAAGAGTGAGAGAGAAGGACTGAGAGGAAGTTTGAGAGAGAAAACTGATTTGCCGGAGTTTTCATCGGAGAGTCGCCGACGGAATCCATTCCCTACCAAGACCTGTACTCTGGAGCCCTTCTTGGAGTGAAGTAAGAACTCGTGTGGAGATTTCCTCCTCTTTCCTCAAGATCAGAAAGGAAACCCGCAAGGTAAGATTTCGAACTATACCTTCCAGATCTTAGATCTTTGTGTAAGAGTAGAATGATTAAGTCTACTACCTTCATCCAGGGAAGATCCGCCACTGATCTTGGTGAGGAAAAACGGACGAAACGACGAGATCTGAGAGACTATCCAAGAACGGTAAGGTTGTTACCGAACCTCTTTTCGACGCTCAAAACTCATCGTATAACTAAGCAAAAATCAAGAAAATAATATTGGCACGTAGGTTGATAAATGATCTATAACTTTGTTGAAGAAACCACCTCTGTTTGGATTAAGAATCGAAAGATAGAAAATGGAAAGAACCTTGGAAAAACTAATCGGAAAACCTTGATTTTCTGGTAGGAGGAGAGAGAAGCCGCCGGCGTGCCACGTGTCAACCAACCAGAGGACCGCGAGCGCCAATCACCCCCGGACACGCGTCGAGCGCCGCCTGGGAAAACGCGGCTCCAGCCTCCTTGCGGCACGCGTCCCTGACAACGCCACCCGATACCCGCGCCCGTCAGCCTACCCGATACCCGCGCGGCGAGCCAAACCGAACCGACAACCCGCGGTCCACCCGAGCCACTGCGTTCGAACCGAACCCGCGACCCGCGACTGCAGGAAATTCTAGGCGCGTGACACTCGCACGTGGAACCCGCGAGTGGTTGCTCCCCGGCGCGTGGCTGGCGCGTGGAAGCGCGTGTAAGCTTATTTTTGGCCCGATCAATTTCTGTTTTCCCAATTTTCCTCCAGATTCCAATCCTAAACCCATTCTGATTGAAATAGGACCAAATTGAAGGAAAATCACCGCCTTTCGATACGTTAAGTGGGTGGAAACGCTGCTTAAGGACACGCGCCATCCAGGTAAGTCACCACATGGATTTTTAGGAAGTATTACTTGTAGGAACCGCTTGGAATGCATGCATGCTAGTTTGAATATCTTAGGTTCTAGTTTTCCGTTAATGATCGTAGGAAATAGTTTATTGAACGTTAGATGTATCTTGTGATTTGTTATGCGAGTTACCTAGATACTGCTGATATGATTTTAGTTTTCGCTGAATTTGCATATGTATGTTTTCATGCTGAATGGAGGATGGAAAATTGCGAACTCTGCGCTCCGGGAGTTGATGGATGTTAACACCCCGTTGAGCTTGTATGATCACTTTGCATGAAATGCCTTTGAGGATTTTGGATAATAGTTATAACATACTCAGTTAATTTTTCATGACTCGCAATTATGAATAAGTCTAGGGATTCTTAGTTAGAGTAACTAGGGACTAAGGTATTAGATCTAATCTTTTCCCTAGTAGAGCAACAGACCACCACGGCGTAAGAAGCCCACTAGGGTACCCTTAGGCTACAGGTGAGTGATTGGTGTCATAGCTTCGTGGGGGAAAAGGGGGTTCCTGATCAGAATCCGACTATTCTTAGCCGTTTTAGCATGGGAAACGTGTGCCCACGTCGTATAGACCATTTAGCTGGATGGGTTAAGGGGGGTAGCTCTCCCCGACCAGGGGGACTGTCATGGGCCTAGGGGGTTGCAGCTCACTTCCTAGTAAGTTACCAGATAGTCTCAGAGCCATGCCGAGGTAGCTACTCGTAGGGCACCAGTCATTACACAGGTTAGCTTAAGGGAGTTTTTAAGAATCTTTAAATGAAAGGACAAAGAACCAAGTTGTCGCGAAGGGAAAGTCCTAAGGTCCTAAGACGAAAACTAGAGGTCCTAGAGCTATTGTAGGGTCCGTGGAGGGTGGTTGCTAAGATTAGGATGCGGTAAGAGCCTATAAGTAGGTGGCTTACTGAGTATAAATTTTATACTCATTCCTGTTATACCTTTTTTTTTCAGGTACGTGAGGCGTCGAGTCTAGAGAGGGCGCGTTGATCGATGGGGGTTGTCGCAGAGGAAGCGTGTCCCGGGGCGTCAGTCTAGTTTACTAAATAGTACACTTTGTCTCTCCTGTTCCTTTCCTTTTTTTACCTAGGCACATATGTCCTTTTAGTAAAGAAACATTTTTCTTACAAATAAATGAAATTCTATTGTTGTAAATGTTTTTCTGTGGTTTTCTCGTTTTTGCACTACATGACATAATTCATGATGGTCACGGCTTGGAGTTATGTATTTTGGGTTGTGACAAATTTGGTATCAGAGCACCAGGACATAGGTCCTGTAGACACTTAGGTTAGAGAGTCGTATCCTCTGTGACGCGCCCATCAATCACGTTCTACTCGCGACCAGACAGTCTCACGAATTTGAATTGCGAAATTAAGAGATAAGATATTAAGAAGAGAGTTTTCTTTCATGATTGTTCTCTTGTGTTTTACAACACATTTCCTAGAGGATGAACCTTGTATGTAATGTAACCACAAAGTTTTTATTGTGGTAGCTAAATGGCACCTAAGAGGAGAGGAACCTATCTTGGGCCTGGACCTAGAAGGGGAAGAAGAAGAGTCGCTCTGAACACTGATGTCCCGTCTCTTGAAGCGGAACAACCTGTACCTGAACCTCAAGAGGAGGTTGAAGAAATGCCTGAATGGTTTGAATGTCCTATACCACGGGCACCAAGGTCAGGAATGAGTCAGAGGAAAGCAGTGACTCAAGATTTATCGGATACAGACTCTACTGCTCCTCCTCCTGAAGCGGTCCCATCAGTGCCCACCGATAACGTGGAGGTTCCACCTAGACAACCAACAACTATCCTCACTACAGATGTAGTACAGTCTTTTATGATAACCTCTATGGAAAACTAGGCTCAAATGGCTCAGATGATGCAAACACTGGTCACTAACCAGGCCATGATGCAACAGGCCATTCAACAGGCACCGCTGCAACAGACAACATTACAGCAGACAGCAATGCAACAGGCAGCCACGCAACAGGCAGCAATGCAACAGACAACATTGCTGGGAAACAGAAACTCTGGAACTATGACCATAGAGGCTCGTTATCTTAAGGATTTTCAGAGGCAAAAACCGCCTTCCTTTGAAGGTGGCAAAATAGATCCTATTGCAGCAGAAAATTGGCTTGAGGCCATGGAAAAAGCCTTCTTTTACATGAACTGTCCGCTGGAATATCAGGTTCACTGTGGAACGTATATGATGGAAGGAGAGGCTCATTTGTGGTGGAAGGGTGCTAAGAAGATGATTGCACCGCTTGGAGAGCCTATCTCTTGGCCTCAGTTCAAAGAGGCTTACCTCCGCAAATACTACCCAGTCGCTGCTAGAATGAAGCTGCAAGCACCATTTCATGAACTCAAACAGGGTGACCTATCTGTGGAGGATTATGATCAGGAGTTTAATAGATTGTCTAGATTCTCTCCTATATATGTCAGTACTGAAGAGCTTAAGGCTGAACGTTTTATCGCCGGCCTAAGGGAGAACATTAGAGGTTATATGGCATCACAGTCATCCTCAGACTATACAGCAGCTCTTAAGATGGCTACCCTTATAGATGCACCTCGCACTGACAGATTACAAGCAGGGTCAGCCCAAAAATCTCAAATCACAGTCCAGGGAAAACAGTTAAATCGAAACTATCCCAGAACCGGCAGACCACCCCGTGGTAGAGCTGCCAATCGCGGGAGGGCTCTAGCACAGAACAGAACTAATTGCCCTCAGTGTCAGCGCCCTCAACAGGGGGAATGTCGTGCTGGAACTAATACTTGTTTTAGTTGTGGCCAAATAGGACACTACGCAACGAACTGTCCCCAAACAAGAGATCAGAACACTAATCGACCTGCAACACAAAATCAAAGGGGTCGAGGTGCCCAACAGCAGCAGGGTCGAGCTGTAGCCCATGCAACTACAGGCAGGCAGGCCGATGCACCTGACGCGGTTGTTACAGGTACGCTACCAGTCTTTGATCACTTGGCTTTTGTACTCTTTGATTCGGGTTCTACACACTCGTTTGTGTCTGAGGAATTCGTTGACTTAGCAACACCTAGAAAAAGAACCTTTAGAGACTATTCTATCAGTATCCACCCCTGCTCACGAGTTATTAATGGCTACTCATAGAGTTAAGGGAGGTAGTGTGACAGTGTCAGGACGTGTCATAGAAGCTACATTAATAGTATTAAGCATGCTAGACTTCGATGTCATTTTGGGAATGGATTGGCTAGGCGAGAATCGCGCTTTGATAGATTGTGAAACTCGAATAGTCACTCTCAGGCTTCCGTCAGGGGATAGTTTTACATATAAGGGGGTCATTCCCAAAAGAACCCCAAGCGTCGTAACTGCACTAAAGGCCAAAAAGATGATTCGCAATGGTGCAAGCGCATTCTTAGCCAGTGTGACCCTAGACAGCAGGAATGGACAGGCAGTCTCATCAGTACACATTGTCAGGGAATTCATTGATGTCTTTCCCGAGGATTTGCCAAGTTTGCCTCCTGTTAGGGAAGTTGACTTCGGGATCGACCTAGAACCAGGAACTGCGCCGATCTCCAAGGCACCCTACAGAATGGCACCTGCAGAACTCAGGGAATTGAAGGAACAGTTACAGGAGCTATTGGATAAGGGTTTCATACGACCCAGTGTGTCACCCTGGGGAGCCCCTGTTCTATTTGTCAAGAAGAAGGATGGATCCCTGCGCCTGTGTATAGATTATAGAGAATTGAATAAGGTTACCATAAAGAATAAGTACCCCCTCCCGAGGATCGACGACTTGTTTGATCAACTGCAGGGAGCAACGGTATTCTCTAAAATTGACTTGAGGTCAGGATATCATCAATTGAGAATAAGAGAAGAAGATATTCCCAAAACAGGTTTTAGAAGTCGCTATGGACATTATGAATTTCTCGTCATGTCCTTTGGACTTACCAATGCACCAGCCGTCTTCATGGAATTAATGAACAGGGTGTTTAAGGAATTCTTGGACACTTTTGTTATAGTGTTTATTGATGATATTCTGGTGTACTCTAAGTCAGAAGTAGAGCACGAAGGGCATCTGAGAAAAGTTCTGACCATACTGAGAACACAGCGACTGTACGCCAAGTTTTCCAAGTGTGAATTTTGGCTGTCTGAGGTAGCGTTTTTGGGTCATGTGGTATCAAGTAGAGGAATCACAGTGGACCTAGCTAAGATTGAGGCAGTGATGAAGTGGCCAAGACCGACCACAGTCACTGAGGTACAAAGTTTTCTAGGACTAGCTGGTTATTACCGAAGGTTCGTCCAGGATTTCTCCAAGATATCTTCAGCGCTAACTCAGTTAACTAAGAAAGGCAAGCCTTTTGTGTGGACACCAGCCTGCGAACAGAGCTTCCAGGAACTCAAGAAGAGGTTAGTGACAGCTCCAGTCCTCACAGTTCCTGATGGGTCAGGAAACCTTGTGGTGTACAGCGACGCATCGGGAAAAGCTCTAGGATGCGTGCTCATGCAGAAGGGTAAAGTGATAGCTTACGCTTCCAGACAACTGAAAGAATATGAAAGGAATTATCCTACTCATGACCTCGAGTTAGCAGCAGTGGTGTTTGCACTAAAGACGTGGCGACATTATCTGTATGGAGAGAAAATTCAAGTATTCACTGATCACAAAAGTCTCAAGTACCTATTTACGCAGAAGGAACTTAACATGAGGCAGAGGAGATGGTTGGAATTAGTAAAGGATTACGACATCGAGATCCTGTATCATCCAGGCAAGGCCAATGTTGTGGCGGACGCATTGAGCAGAAAGGCAGTTCATACTTCCGCTATGATCACTAAGCAGGAAAGAATACAGGATGAGATGAAGAGAGCTGGAATCGATGTTGTAATCAAAGGTGGTACTGCTCAGATAACACAAATGACCTTGCAACCCACCTTACGAAAACGAATTATTGACGCTCAGAGGTCTGACGAACACCTTGGGAAGCTGTGGAATTAGACGGAGATTGAAAGGCCTGTGGGGTACTCAATCTCTTCAGATGGGGGTTTGTTGTGGAAAAATCGCTTATGTGTTTCCCGTGACAAGAAAATCCTTAAGGATATTATGACAGAAGCTCACGATACTTCTTATACGTTCCACCCTGGAAGTACAAAGATGTATCAGGATCTTAAGGGATGTTATTGGTGGCCAGGGATGAAAAAGGAGATAGCAGAATTTGTAAGTCGATGCTTGACTTGTCAGCAGGTGAAGGCCTCGAGACAGCGTCCAGCAGAACTGCTACAACCCCTAAAGGTTCCGTAGTGGAAATGGGAAGCAGTTTGCATGGATTTTATCTCAGGCTTGCCCAAGACCAAGCAGAGCTTCAACGTAATCTGGGTAGTTGTTGATAGACTTACCAAGATGGCTCACTTCATCCCAGGCAAAACCACTTATCGTGTGGATCGGTGGGCCCAGCTGTATATCAGAGAAATAGTACGCTTGCACGGTGTACCGGTGTCTATAGTGTCTGACCGGGACACTAGGTTCACCTCTCAGTTTTGGAAAAGCCTCCAAAAAGCATTAGGGACTCAGTTAAGATTTAGTACAGCATTCCATCCTCAGACAGACGGACAGACTGAAAGACTAAACCAAATCTTAGAAGATATGTTGCGAGCCTGTGTCTTGGATTTCGCTGGGTGCTGGGATGAACATCTACCTCTAATAGAGTTTGCTTATAATAATAGCTATCAAGCGACCATCCAGATGTCCCCTTTTGAGGCGATGTATGGGCGTAGGTGTCGAACACCGGTATTTTGGGAAGAAGTAGGCACGCAGCAGCTACTGGGACCAGAGTTCGTTCAAGTCACCAACGCGGCAGTGCAGAAAATTAAGCAAAGAATCCTCACTGCACAGAGCCGACAAAAGAGCTATGCAGATTTGCGTAGAAGGGACCTCGAGTTCGAGGTGGGTGACCATGTGTTCGTGAAGGTAGCACCTATGAGAGGGGTGATGAGGTTTGGAAAGAAAGGGAAGTTAAGCCCAAGGTTTATAGGCCCTTCCGAGATTCTAGAGAGAGTTGGGGCCGTGGCTTATAAGATTGCTCTTCCACCAAACCTTGCCGCCGTTCACAACGTGTTCCACGTATCTATGCTGCGAAAGTACACCCTAGACCCAACTCACGTGATTGAACACGAAACCCTCCCTCTTCGGGAGGATTTGTCCTACGAGGAAAGACCCAGCAAAATTCTGGCTCGAGACATTAGGCGTCTGCGTAACAAAGTTATTCCCTTGGTGAAAGTCGCATGGGGTAACCGTCGTCATGAGGAGGCAACCTGGGAACGAGAAGAAGACGTAAAGAGAACCTATCCCGAACTCTTCCAAGGGATACCAACTTTCGGGGACGAAAGTTTATAAGGAGGGGAGAGTTTGTAACATTTAAAAAAAAAAAAACAAACAGTCGAGGGGCAAAATGGACATTTTACCCCTCAGCCCATTATAGGGGTCTTGAGCGTCCTCCTCAGAGTTCCTGCAAAAGAAGAAGAGTGAGAGAGAAGGACTGAGAGGAAGTTTGAGAGAGAAAACTGATTTGCCGGAGTTTTCATCGAAGAGTCGCCGACGGAATCCATTCCCTACCAAGACCTGTACTCTGGAGCCCTTCTTGGAGTGAAGTAAGAACTCGTGTGGAGATTTCCTCCTCTTTCCTCAAGATCAGAAAGGAAACCCGCAAGGTAAGATTTCGAACTATACCTTCCAGATCTTAGATCTTTGTGTAGGAGTAGAATGATTAAGTCTACTACCTTCATCCAGGGAAGATCTGCCACTGATCTTGGTGAGGAAAAACGGACGAAACGACGAGATCTGAGAGACTATCCAAGAACGGTAAGGTTGTTACCGAACCTCTTTTCGACGCTCAAAACTCATCGTATAACTAAGCAAAAATCAAGAAAATAATATTGGCACGTAGGTTGATAAATGATCTATAACTTTGTTGAAGAAACCACCTCTGTTTGGATTAAGAATCGAAAGATAGAAAATGGAAAGAACCTTGGAAAAACTAATCGGAAAACCTTGATTTTCTGGTAGGAGGAGAGAGAAGCCGCCGGCGTGCCACGTGTCAACCAACCAGAGGACCGCGAGCGCCAATCACCCCCGGACACGCGTCGAGCGCCGCCTGGGAAAACGCTGCTCCAGCCTCCTTGCGGCACGCGTCCCTGACAACGCCACCCGATACCCGCGCCCGTCAGCCTACCCGATACCCGCGCGGCGAGCCAAACCGAACCGACAACCCGCGGTCCACCCGAGCCACTGCGTTCGAACCGAACCCGCGACCCGCGACTGCAGGAAATTCTAGGCGCGTGACACTCGCACGTGGAACCCGCGAGTGGTTGCTCCCCGGCGCGTGGCTGGCGCGTGGAAGCGCGTGTAAGCTTATTTTTGGCCCGATCAATTTCTGTTTTCCCAATTTTCCTCCAGATTCCAATCCTAAACCCATTCTGATTGAAATAGGACCAAATTGAAGGAAAATCACCGCCTTTCGATACGTTAAGTGGGTGGAAACGCTGCTTAAGGACACGCGCCATCCAGGTAAGTCACCACACGGATTTTTAGGAAGTATTACTTGTAGGAACCGCTTGGAATGCATGCATGCTAGTTTGAATATCTTAGGTTCTAGTTTTCCGTTAATGATCGTAGGAAATAGTTTATTGAACGTTAGATGTATCTTGTGATTTGTTATGCGAGTTACCTAGATACTGCTGATATGATTTTAGTTTTCGCTGAATTTGCATATGTATGTTTTCATGCTGAATGGAGGATGGAAAATTGCGAACTCTGCGCTCCGGGAGTTGATGGATGTTAACACCCCGTTGAGCTTGTATGATCACTTTGCATGAAATGCCTTTGAGGATTTTGGATAATAGTTATAACATACTCAGTTAATTTTTCATGACTCGCAATTATGAATAAGTCTAGGGATTCTTAGTTAGAGTAACTAGGGACTAAGGTATTAGATCTAATCTTTTCCCTAGTAGAGCAACAGACCACCACGACGTAAGAAGCCCACTAGGGTACCCTTAGGCTACAGGTGAGTGATTGGTGTCATAGCTTCGTGGGGGAAAAGGGGGTTCCTGATCAGAATCCGACTATTCTTAGCCGTTTTAGCATGGGAAACGTGTTCCCACGTCGTATAGACCATTTAGCTGGATGGGTTAAGGGGGGTAGCTCTCCCCGACCAGGGGGACTGTCATGGGCCTAGGGGGTTGCAGCTCACTTCCTAGGTAAGTTACCAGATAGTCTCAGAGCCATGCCGAGGTAGCTACTCGTAGGGCACCAGTCATTACACAGGTTAGCTTAAGGGAGTTTTTAAGAATCTTTAAATGAAAGGACAAAGAACCAAGTTGTCGCGAAGGGAAAGTCCTAAGGTCCTAAGACGAAAACTAGAGGTCCTAGAGCTATTGTAGGGTCCGTGGAGGGTGGTTGCTAAGATTAGGATGCGGTAAGAGCCTATAAGTAGGTGGCTTACTGAGTATAAATTTTATACTCATTCCTGTTATACCTTTTTTTTCAGGTACGTGAGGCGTCGAGTCTAGAGAGGGCGCGTTAATCGATGTGGGTTGTCGCAGAGGAATCGTGTCCCGGGGCATCAGTCTAGTTTACTAAATAGTACACTTTGTCTCTCCTGTTTCTTTCCTTGTTTTTACCTAGACACATATGTCCTTTTAGTAAAGAAACGTTTTTCTTACAAATAAATGAAATTCTATTGTTGTAAATGTTTTTCTGTGGTTTTCTCGTTTTTGCACTACATGACATAATTCATGATGGTCACGGTTTGGAGTTATGTATTTTGGGTCGTGACATTGATTGACAGATTGATCTACATAATACAAACACGACTCGATAATGTATTTCCTATTAGTATTATTTTCAAGTTTATGCAACAACCTACCACCTTCAAAAGTTCATTATGGAGCAACAAAATGAGTCTCCAGTTATGTTGCCAGAACTATGAAATATGGGTTGAGGAATAGCAATTAAGTAAGATCATTAGTTGAGCATTTCAACAAATGTTTTCACTCTAGGATGAGGAATGATTATTTGGAGCTCAAAGAAGCAAGCAACATAGACATTGTCAACATTAGAAGAAGAATATGTTGCAGCAGCTTCAGCAACGTGTCAAGCTATTTGGCTGAGAAGAGTTTAGCTGATCTTCGACAAGAGCAGAATGTAGCAACCGAGATATTTTGTGATAATAAAGAAACTATCTCTCTGGCAAAAAAACCCAACATTTCACATAAGAACAAATCATTGAACTTCGGCATCACTATATTCATGATCTTGTTTACAAATGATGAAATTATCTTGAATTATTGTAACACCAAAGAACTACTAGTAGACATATTTATTAACAAATATATTTATTAAGGCTTTATCAAAAGAAAAGTGTGTTATTTCAAAAGATTACTTGACATCTATAATTTGAAATCATTCAAAGTTTGATAAAGTTTTTGAGAAAATTGTTAA